GAGATAGGGCTTCTGAGGCCCGAAGGAGAGACTATCAAGAATTGGAGGAGAAAAACTCCCTTGCCCGGTGTTACATCATTGCCTCCTTGGACAATCCGATACAGAGGCAGTTCGATCAGATCGAACTTGCCAAAGACATATTGGACAGTCTCAGGACAATGTATTAAACTCAAAGAAGCATTGATTGTCATGAGTGAATTTTGCTATTGATAACAAATTTATGGTTATATTTGGAACATGTAATAAATCATGAGGAACAAAAGAACGAGAGTTGCTCGTAAAAGAAGTTATGACAGAGTGTTGAATGGGTAGTAGACCTGTCCCATTATTGACTGTAATATGATAAGTCCCATCATAATCTACATGTAATTGCAAATTCTCCATGTTAGACGTCATATGGTGGATGTCTCTAGAGTTTGGATACCGGCTACTGTCAATAAGTGGTGTATTTGAAGTCGTATATGCTAACTTATCACTCCCTTTGAAGTTTCTGTCAAAACGCACTCTACAATGCAGTGCAATAGGATTAAGTTTGCCACAGATTTGGCAATTTAGCTCCTCTGTGATTTTCATTACGATAAGCCACATTTGTAGTGATAGGAAAATTATCAAACAGTAACCTAGTGTGTTCCATGCGAATCTCATGGTTCATAAGAAGCGCTTGAACACCATCAAATGTGAATCATCGGAATACACCATTATAGTAGTTATTAAGGATTCATAGTCTAGACCCAATCCACCAAGTACATACTGGACCAGTTTTGAGTCTAAAATACTTTCACCAATATCATCTAGGTTGTCACATATGAGCTTAGCTTTTTGAATATAATCAGTCATACCTTGTATTCCCTTCTTGAGATGAGAAAGATCAAACATGAGTTGCATTGATTTGGTCAAGATCTTGATGCAAATAATCCAGTAAGAGTATCCCAAGTTGCTTTGGTTGTGGTACAACTAAGACCTTGGGCCAACACACCTTTAGTAAGTGATGAGAGAATCCAACTGCGCAACAACTGATCTTGTTGTTCTCATAAAACAAAATTAGGATTCAGGGTCTGTTTTCCCTCCTTGAAGATAAAGTTGGAGGACAAGGTATGGAATGAAAGAATGGTAGGATCCATCTAATGGATGCCATAAAGATTGCAGAATGGGTGGGTGAATTTCAAAAATTTTCCTACCTTCTTCCAATTGGGAATTGTATTCCCTAAATTTAGAATACAATATTCAAGGATCCTACTTGTACCATAATCGAACCAAACCTGAACCAAAAGGGAATGGAGGAATTATACTTGATCCAGAGAAGCAGTATCTCCCAAAGTTGGTGTTCACGCCCAAAGAGGACACCAAGATCCGCTCCTGCTGAAGATGACACAGCTATATGTGGAACGGAACCAGCAGAGTGCGTCCTACACACTGAATCATTTGCAAGAATCCACTGGAAACTCAGAGCACCAAATCTTTTCAGTATTTTCTGCAAAAATGATGTCAAGAACCAATTTCTTGATTTTTTTCTTCTTCAAAGATCGAATCTTGTAAGAATGAATGGCGGCGGCTGGAGGAGAACTCCTAAAGTGAAGATGGCTGAAATTGCTTCTCTTCTCTCTAGAGTATGTATGAGATCTAATCTCAATTTGCAGGATAATTTCTTGCACAAAACCCTAGGTTCGAAATCTAATTTCTCCTCTTTTCTTCTTGATTAAGAAACCTCCTAATTAGGAGTTATCCCAATCCAAATCAGTATTTGGATAGGGGATGATCTTAATCCTATCT